TATGCAACCTGGCCTAAGTCAGAATTTTCTAAATGGAGGGAACCTCAATTAAGCAAATGCCTCCTAAGGTCCAGCCGTAAGGCACTTTCTTTATTAGTGATTGATGGGGGTGATCGGATAGTGGGTGGTGCCATCCCTGGGCAGGTGGTCCTGGGTTCTATAAGAAAGCAGGCTGAATGCCATGAAGAGAAAGCCAGTAAGCAGCACCCCTCCATGGCCGCTGCATCAGCTCCTGCCTCCAGGATCCTGCTCTGTGTTAGTTCTGACTTCCATAAGTAATCAACAGTAAGCCAAACAAACCCTCTCCTCCCCATGCTGCTTTGGTCATGGTGTTTCATCACAGCAATACTAACCCTAAAGTAGGATAGTATCTCAAAATTAACACAAAGCAAAGTTCCTCAGAACAAAGTAACAATATCGTCTCAGACACACTTCATTTACCAGACTTAATATCCAAATGCTGATTTTTATTTTTCATAACCACCTATCTTAAAGGTACTCATAGTCTCCAACTTGCAGATGAGAAACAGGCTCAGAGAGGGAAAGTCAGTGGCCTAGATCACACCAGGAGAGCTGATGGATCCAAAGCTCCAAATCAGCTGACACCACATAGGCAGCCAGTAGCTCCCCATGTAGCACAGCCTGGGTCTCTTCTGCTGAATATCCCCTCATCTTGATGCCCGGGGAGAGACATTCATCAAGTATTAAGCCAGGGAGAGCTCTAGACCCAGAGACAGTGTTCCTTGACTCAGTGAGTATGCCACTATTTTTGGGGGGAGGGTAGCTCATTTTCAGAGTACTGCTCCATCACTGGGTGAAGGGACATTAGCCCACCTGAACTTGTGACTCTGGCAGGCCTTGCCCTGCCACCGGATCCCCCTGCCTTGCTAAAAACCGTTAGATTACATTTCTAAAACTAGCCACTAAGGTCTATGCCCTTACTGGCCAATTCCTCCTCCAGAGACAGCTACCAAAGTCTAACAATCAAAAGCCCCCTTTGGCCCACCTAATTAACACACCCAATTAAAATTTAACACCTCGGCCAGGCGGTGGTGGTGGCTGCGCACGCCTTTAATCTCAGCACTCGGGAGGCAGAGGTAGGTGGGTCTCTGTGAGTTCGAGGCCAGCCTGGTCTACCAAGCAAGTTCCAGGACAGGCTCCAAAACAATACAGAGAAACTCTGTCTCGAAAAAAAAAAAATTAAACACTTCAACACTTCATCATAACATAGAGTTTCCCCCTTTACCTTTATAAACCGCCAATTGCCTATGTGCCACGGCTGTTTCCTCTCTATCCAGAGGCAGTCCAGGACAAATACATTTCCCTGCCTCTTTCCCCTGTCCCCTACCCATTCTCTCTCATCCCCTATCTCCTTCACCACAGCATCCTAACCCATTCTCACACAGACCTCCCCTATTCCCCTCTTAAGAATGACACCTGCGAGGTCATTGGCTGCTGTCTTCTGCCCGAGTCAGAAAGCAGCCACTTTAACTTTTCTTCCCTACTTAATAAAGCGTCTCTGTGAAGACAGGTGCTTGGGTGTGGTTTGTGTCTAATCTGAAGGAAGCCTATGATGTCATGTTGTGTGTATGGGGGGGTAGGGGAGTCTCCTTCACTGGGGGTAAATCCATAAGCAATAAAGCCCCCTGCCTTCTGGAGCCTGTGTCTACTGGAGCAGGCAGATGAGAAACACAGTTTAGGCTATAGCATGATAAGTTATAAAGTGACAAACTCAAGGCAGAAAAGAAAACTCAGAGACTGGTAAAGGCTAGGTTATGTGACAAAACGTCCTGGGGAGACCCAACAAATACATCTACTCACCCCAGATAGGGAACCCACGACAGACCCAAGTACAGACACCATCAAAGTCCAACTTGGTGAACAATGGGTTTTATTGGCGTTACTTACAGCTATATGGTTGAGGGGTTACTTACATGAGACAAAACGATTCAAAGACAGTTGCATTGCCAACACCCACTCCAGCATGGGAGACAACTCACACCTGGACCTGGAGCACACTGAACAGCCTGCAGGCAGCTCAGCAGGTTGGATAGTGGCCTTTCAGGTGCCTTGGTGGTCTAGTCCTCTTCCAGACAGCTCAGCTGGTCCTGTCTGAGAGTCTTCTTTGCATCTTGGCTCTGCTCTTCTGAGAGAGATCTCAGCTTTTATTGCTTCCTCTTGCTGGGAGGAGCCTAGTGAATCTGGTCAGTTTCGGGAACTTCCTGAGGCTGTTTTGTTTACCTTCCTGCTTAAGATGCAGGATGGCATGTTTCAATCTAGGAGGAAACTGTTGTGCAACAGGGCATCAGCACAGCTAGGGGATACCATGTAGCTATGCCACCATGCAGTGCCAGGGCTTGAACCCAGGGCTTTCTGAATGCTAAGCAAGCTCTCTACTATTGAATACATTCTGAGTCTCCAATTTGTAATTTTAAGTAGGCTGGGAGGAGGAGTCTTGCTGAGAAGGTGGTATCAGATGCTAAAGAGGAAGGAAAGGAGGGAAGTAATGACACTAACATACACGGAGGAGTGTAGCAAGCAAGTATGTCCAAATAACAGCAAGGAAGCTGGGCGTGGTGGCACATGTCAGTAATCCCAGCATTTTGGAGGCTGAAGCAGGGCCTGGAGTTCAAGGTCAGCCTGGGCTACATAAATAGTGCCTATCTTGGAAAACAAAGTGAAAGAAAGTAAACATGGAAAGGTGGAAGGAGGGAGGGAGGGAGGGAGGGAGGACAGACCGAAGGAAGAAAAGGCATTGTCACCGTCATGCTGGCAGACAGAATCAGCAGATGGTGGCAGTCCTAGTGGCTTCCTGGGCTACTCTAAAGGTTTGAGGTGGTGAACACTGGCAGGAGCTGTGCACCCAACAGCCCTGTTCTGACACCTGGGGTTAGAATGCTTCTGGCTGCTGCTTTGCAAATGGACACTGAATGGCCAGTGAGATGACTCAGCAGGCTAAGGTGCTTGTGGCACAAGCCTGGCGGCCTGAGTTTGAAGACTGGAGTCTGCATAAAGGCAGAAGGGGAGAACTGGATGGAAAAGCATGGACTCAGGACACCCAAGGTCAAGTTCTCTGCACAAAGGAGATGTATTTGCCCCAGAGGGACAGAGGGCAGGGAATAAGAGACAAACTGGGAGACAGAGGATGAGGGAGAATAGATAATAGTGTGCTGGTTTGAAAGAAAATGGCCCCCAAAGAGAAAAGCACTAATGGGACTTGTGGCCTTGGAATAGATACAGACTTGTCTGAGGAAGTGTGTCACTGTGGAGGCAGGCTTTGAGGTCTCATTCGCTCAAGCCAGGCCCACTGAGTCAGTCTGCTTCCTGTTGCCTGTGCATCAAAATGGAGCAGCTCCTTCTCCAGCACCGTGTCTGCCTACATATTGCCATGTCCCACCAAGAAGATAATGGACTCAAATATAAGCTTTTTCCCCCATTTACACACTTTCCTTTATAAGAGGTGCTGTGGTCATGGTGTCCCTTCACAGCAATAGAAACCCGAAGACAGCTACGTATACTAAGCTTTTAAAGAACACTAAAGGGAGAAGGATGGAGACTGGGAGGTCAAGACGTGATTCACGTGATAGGCATTGCTGCTAGGGCTGGGCCTGTCAGTTTGTGGAGGAGCGGTCGGGCTCTGTGTGCATTTTGGTTACTGAGTCACACTGAACACTGACATGGTTGTTAAACCAACAAAGCCTGCTGGAAGGAAAGCTGTTTTTTTCTTACAGTGGATCCCAGGAATCTGTGACTAGTGACGTAAGACACTGACAAGAGCTGAGAGCTTACAAAGATTCACCTTCAGACACAATGTCACACATTGCAGAAAACAACACAGTTCTTAGTTTGGTTTTTTCTTTTGCTTTAACATTGTATCTATGTGCCATCTCTCTTCAGAATTTTATTAGAAGATGTAAGTTAACAGAAAGAGAACTAATGAAAGATGAAAAGCATAAAAATAAAAGAGAGATGCAATGTGAATCATTGACTGTGTAGCAATGTACAGAAGCATCTCAGTATCTCAGTAGCATTACTAGCAAGGAGAAAATATATCTGGAAGTAACTTTGACCAGGGATTCTAACAAAACATAGTCAAGAATTTAAAATCTCCCATAAGTTATTAGATGCTAATTCAATCGATCATGACTTTTTTAAGTTTTGAATAAAGCTTAGATACTAGTTACTGGGATTTGGTCACAGGGCAATGTTCTTTTGGAAGTAATTTCCCCTCTCAGGGGCCCCTTCTGGTTTTCTGGAACCTTCCCTCTTTCGATTTCACATAGACTCACACATATAAAAACATACAAGCCAAGATCCGAATGCAAGAGAGAACTATCAGTGCTTGTTGGCTTGGCCTCAGTTAGTATAATATTTTCCAGTTCCAGCCACTTTCCTAAAAATTGTATACTTTTATTTCTCCTTACTAATGAATAGAATTCTTTTTTTTTTTTTTTTTTTTTTTTTTTTTTGGTTTTTCGAGACAGGGTTTCTCTGTGGCTTTGGAGGCTGTCTTGGAACTCGCTTGGTAGTCCAGGCAGGTCTCGAACTCTCAGAGATCCTCCTGCCTCTGCCTCCCGAGTGCTGGGATTAAAGGCGTGCGCCACCAACGCCCGGCACGAATAGAATTCTATTGTATATATGTGCTGTATTTTCATTATCCATTCATCCATTGACAGACAACTAGGCTGTTTCCTTTTCCTGGTTACTATGAGTACAGCAGCAAAGAACATGATGAACAGGTATCTCTGCAGTAGGATGTAGAATCATCTGGGAATATGCCCAGGAGTGGTACAGCTGTGTCATATGATAGATCTACTTGTAGCTTTTTGAGGAACCTAACACTGTTTCCCACAAATGGCTGCACCAGTTTCCACTCCCACCAGCAGTGAATGAGGGTTCCTCTTTCCCCCACACCCTCTCCAGCATCTGTTACGTTTATTTAAATCCTTATCTCATTAAATCCAATGGACTCATTCATATAAAGCAAGTCTCGCCGGCAAAGCCACACCACCGGCATGGTTCTTAATTCTACATGACAAGCAGAGCCCACAGACAGAGGGACAGTACCGTGGGGACTGTCACTGACCTCTGTCTTAACCCATTGAGAAATGCAAACAAAAGAAGAAAAGGAAGCCATGCAGCTTGAGCTGCTCCTGGTCTCTGAGACTGAAGCACTGAGCTCAGGAGAACCTGTGGGCCCAGCTCTTTTCATAGCCTGTGTGACCACTATTCCTTTCCGTCAGCTTTTCTCTGTCTGGAAACAACTACAGGACAAGCGCTGGGTACGCCCGTAAGGAATTTTCTAGATCTGATTATTGAAAATGGCAAGACCCAGCCTCGTATGGGCTGCACCTTTCTGTGGCAGCTGAGGATGGAGGTGGAAGAAGACAGGGTAAGCCCATCTTTTTGTTTCTTGCCTGGTTGATGACCTCTCCCTGGCAGGTTCATCAACTGCTACTGCTGTATTCCTTTGTCCAATGTTACAACCTTACTTTGAGCTTTAATGTGGACTGAAGACCAGTGGCTTTCTAGGAACCTTCTAGGCCTTCAGCACTGGCTTTGGGCTGCTGAGACACTGAGCCCTGTAGGTTGAACAGCTATGGGATTCTGGGCCTCTCCATTGCAAGACAGTCACTGTTAGACCACCTAGACCATATCGTGTAAGCTGATCTAACCAGCCTGACTTCTAACTCAGAGATCTGCCTCAGCCTCAATAGTGCTGGGACTAAAGGGGTACACCACCACACCCTGCTGATTTTCTGGTTTTAAATTGTGCCGCCTACATTGGACTTGCAGTTAAGAAGGCAGATGACAAGAGCTTCCTATGAGAAAACCACCCTAGACAACTATCTAAGTGTGTTCCTTTCAAAATATACATAGACAGTGGAGGAATGCTAATTAAATAGAATCCCTATTTCTGGACATTCTAGACACAAAGAGGCAAATAAAGGAAGAAAAAAGAAATACCCCAAAGTATAATTATTTGCAAGAATTAAAACCAGGTGTAGAATTTCTGAGAGTCCACAGTCAGCTTTGACCATATAATCCAAGCCCCCAAAGTAATACTAATAATAATTGTATTATTTTTAAAGAATTATTAGAAACAATACAGAGCCATCAGTAGAAATCATTTTCTGTCATCCTCAGTGAGCAGAACCTCAGGAGTTAACTTGCTCACTAACAGCCAAACTTTGTGACATCCCACAGTGAGATCAGAAGAAAGGGAAACGTTTGGGAGGCCCATGTCCAAGTTGAAAATAGCGACCTAAAGCCTCTGTTTCTTTTTTGTTTTGTTTTGGTTTGGTTTTTTGGCTTTTCGAGACAGGGTTTCTCTGTGTAGCTTTGGAGCCTGTCCTGTAACTAGCTCCATAGACCAGGCTGGCCTCAGAACTCACAGAAATTTGCCTACCTCTGCCTCCCGAGTGCTAGGAATAAAGGCGTGCACCACCACTGCCCAGCAAGCTCTGCTTCTTTATCCTTATGCCACCCCAAAAGAAGTCAGACGATATAAACCAAAGACCCACCACTGCAAGAATCTTGGGTATATGGTCAAATTTTTCACATTTAAAGAAGTTATACAGGGTCACATAAGGCCATTTTCACCCAATTATATAATACATTTTGACCATATCCCCCTGTAGCCCATTACTCTCTCTCATTGTGTGTGTGTGTGTGTGTGTATGTGTGTGTGTGTGTACACTTGTGTGCATGAATGTGTATGGGTGAGTGTGCATATGGATGTATAGGTCAGAGGCCAGTTTTAAGCATCAACTTCAATCGCTTCTTCACCTTATTTTTTGAGACAAGGTATCACTGAGCTTGAAACTCACCAACTTGGCTAAAATGACTAGTCAGCAACTTCTGGGGATCTTCCTGTCTCCACTTTCATAGTGCTGGGATTACACACATACACACACACACACACACACACACACACACACACACAGTTGTGGATTATTAGTTTAAGATGTGTTACATTTGTTTATGTTGTGGAGCATTTGTTTAATGATGGCAAATGTGTTGCATTCTTTTATGTTGCATTTGTTTAACTCTGTAAAGCTGTATTACTTTGCCTGTCTAAAACACTTGATTGGTCCAACAAAGAGCTGAAAGGCTAGTAGTGATGCAGGAGAGAGAAACAGGCAGGGGGCTGCCAGGCAGAGAGAGTAAATAGGAAGAGAAAACTAGGCTTGAAAGAGAAAGAGCAGGGAGTGAGAAAAGGAGGAGAGGAGGACACCAGGGATCAACCACCCAGCCACACAGCCAGCCATGATGTAAAGGGAGATATATAGAATAAAGAAAGGTAAAAAGCCCAGAGACAAAATGTAAAGAGAGATGGGATAATTTAAATTAGGAAATCTGGCTAGAAACAAGCCAAACTAAGGCCGGGCATTCATAGTAAGAATGAGTCTCCATGTATTTATTTGGGAGTTGGATGGCAGGCTCTCAAAGAGTTAAACAAAAAATCAACTACAACACACACCTCACATGGCATTTTTATTCTGGTGCTGGGAATTAGACTTACGTTGTCATGTTGCACAGCAACCACTTTACCCATCAGCCTCCTTTCTAGATTCCTCGTGGGTTCTTTGTCTTTCCTTGTATTACTGGTACTACTGCAACTCCACACAGATTAGTGATAACGTTTTAATATGGAAAGAGTCTAAGAGTTTGTGGGGGAGGGGTGGAAGGGTGCTATGATAATGAAGGTCCTCAAAGCTTGGAGAAGCCCCTAGGGACCAGTGAATGACTGAGGTTGTGGAAGGCTAGGTTGTGAGAAAATGTGCCCAAAGCATTTGAGGTACATGGCAGGAGTGTGGCTGGAAGAGGCAGGGGTGATTGCTTGAGTTCACCCCAGAGAAGATGAGAATAATTTTTCCTTTGAGTTCAAAATATCTCCCTCACAGCTTTCAGTACATGGATCTTTATAAGTATGTCTAAATGTAACAAGATTGCTTCATAGTGAGCCCCCCTCCACATTGCCATGGAAACAGCACAGTGCTCATATGACAGGTGTGAGCATGTACATGCACACACAGCATGCTAATATATTCTCATGTCATTCATGCGTTCTCCTTCTGGTGCCGCTTTATACTTCTAAAAATTATACACTTGAAATAAAAACTGCTAATTCCTATTGTACAATTGTCTGTAATCTCTCTTTTATTTTGACTTCAGAAGTTACTGACTGTGGACTTTTCTTCAGCATAGACATTCTAGATGTGAAATCATCTGTTGCCACACCCTGGGGCGATTCCAATTTTTCTCCTATCCCTATCTATTCCTCTCCTATCACATAGTCTCAATACCTATAGCTCAATTTTTAAAAGATTACTTATTTATTATTTATACAGTGTTCTGTCTGCATGCATGCAGGCTGCCATGTGATTACTGGGTTGTGATTGCTGATCAGGTGCTTCAGAGCCTAAGAGTCTGGAAGCTAGTTTAAGAGTTCATCACCATCAGCATTGAGCTTTCCCTCCGCTGGAACTGGAGTGTAGGCTGGAACCTGTAATATACAATGGCCTCCCTGGTCCCTTCAGCCCCAAGATGCGTGGCTGTACTCCTGCTTCATCACCAGGTCCATTCAGTTGAAGTGGATAGCGGGATTAAGTAGCCTTAGTTAAGTACCACCTTCCAGGAAGTGACTCAGCCACTTCTGGGTGTGGTCTGACACCCCCGCAGAATCCACACCCCTGTGTCATCAGTCTCTACCAAATGCCTTGACCCTCAAGGTCCATACCAAGTCCACATCTGCCTTCTTTACATTTGTCCTGGGTCACTCCTAGACTGAGACCAGCCAGCTTGGTATGTTCCTTGATGCCAAATTACCCAGGGATGGACTGCATCTGCCAAACTCAAGACTGTTTGCTACTTAGCCCAGGCTGGCCTTGAACGTAGGACTTTTTTGCCTCAGCTCCTCCATTTGTAGGTGTGTACCACCATACTCAGCTTTCCAGGTAACATTCTTGAGTTGTGAAGTTACAGTTTTGGAGCCACCAGCCCACCTACCTGTTTCCTACCACTGCCCTTCCTGCACTTGGCCTCTGCCTCAAGGGCAGTTCCTGGAACTCACCACCTCAGGACAGGCTCCATCCGAGTTGATGATGGCTTGTGATGCTGCTACCGCCAGACAGATCTTCTCCTTATCCCAGTCCTTCCCCTGGCTGGGCCCTCTGCTACTTGCTGTCTTTCATATCTCACCAGAAAGCATAAACATCTTGTGATTGTATGCTGTCCACCTCCCCCAGTAGCTCATAAATTCCACGAGGACATCATGCCCCAGTATACCCAGTGCCCAGCATGCAACAGGGGCTTAGGGAATTGCTATTAAACTAATGAAGAAAAGCACTGTATTACTCCAAACACAAGAGCGAGGACAGCACCCCAGCTGCCTCTGATGGTCGAGAGAAGTCATTTTATTGTACTGTGCTTTCCTTTTTGAGACGGCTTCTCCTATGTAGCTCAGGCTGACCTTATGTTCAGAGCAGTCCTCCTGCCTCAGCTTCTTAAGTACACATCACTTTGCCCAGTTAGGAAGGTGGTTGTTTTGTTTTGTTTTCTTCTTTTAACAAATAAAACTTCTCTCTCCTAGCTACTTTCATGTGACTTTAAATTCGATGTTTAAAGCTAGCACACAAAGAGATGGGTTTCTTTTTGGAATTTCCGTGCATACATACCATTATACTTTGTTCTCATTCATCCCCCTCCCTCCTTTCCATCTCTCATTCCCCCTACCCACTCCCCTGTTGCTGGCCCTTGTCCTCGCTCTGCATTGTTCTCCCTCATGTTTCTATGTTCCATTACACCCTCTTCCCTCCTCTAAGCCCCCAAGATTATTTCCTCCCCTCCTGTGGCCTTCTCTTTTCAGTACACAGACAGACAGACAACAGACACAGGCACAGACTACACATTATGAAAAAAAATGCGGTATTTGTCATTCGAATCTGACTTATGTCACTTAGCATAATTATCTTCAGATCCATCGATTTCCCCCAAAATGTCATGATTCTATTTTCTTTATGGGTGGAGACTTCTATTGTGTATATGTGCCACATTTTCTTTATCCATTTTTCTGTAGATGGACATGTCATTTGTCTCCATTTCTTGGCTTTTGCGAGCAGTGCAGCAATAAATATGAATGTGCAAGTTATCTCCTGTGGTGTGTTGACTTAGAGTGGGCACGTACCTAGGAAGGGTGTAGCTGAGTCATGTGGCCATTCAACTTTAGTATCCATGTGTGTTGTGGAATACTCCTTTACACTATGTGAAGATGTGTCTCTGGATAGAGAGCTCTGGGAAGAAGAAAACAGGGAGTCGCCAGCCGGACACAGAGGGAGCAAGACAAGCAGGAGGAGAGGTAAAAGCCACAAGTCACATGGCAGCAAGTAGATGAATAAAAACAGTTTAATTTAAGTTATAAGAACTAGTGGGACAAGCCTGAGCTATAGGCTTTTCATATTGTGAATAATATTATATATTATAATAGGCTATGAAATTGTATTTCATAATTAATAAGTATTCATGTCATTTTTGTGAGCTGGTGGCCCAAATTAAAAATGTGCTACACATGTGGCTTTTGAAGGACAGATGTCAGCAGCAGGAAACCCTGCTGTTTCTAACTGGCTAACTTGACTTACAATTGTTGGTTAGTAGTAGGGCTTTGACTCACTATGAATCTCTCTTTACATGGATTTAAGTCATTTTACATTGCACATTAGTGACAGTAGTCCTTAGAATATGAAGCCCAATGGCACAAACTTTAGGGTGAGATAGTAGAATTTACACTCACTCTCATCTCATAATGACAGGATTTTCTGTTTCATCTTTGACAGAACAAAAGCCAAACTCAATTTTTTGTCAGTGTTATGGTCCATTTCCTATGCCATAATAAAAATGCTACAGAGTTGGTTATTTATCATGAATAACAGTCTATCTGTCTTGCTGTCCTGGAAGCTGAGAAATCCGAGAACATGTTGCTGATCTCTAGTCAGGATTCAATGAGAGCCTTACGCTGCATTATAACAAGGTGAATGGTGTCACATGATAAATCAGACCTGGCCCCAGACAACTCCCCTTTATAACAAAACCACTCCTTTAAAACTCCCTGAACGGATTCTTCCACCGGTGAAGGCAGAGACCTCATGATGTCATCATTCTTCAAAGACCCCTCCTTCCAACATTGTCACCACCACTTTTCAAACCATATACAAACCACAGTTGCTGTACAAGTCACTCTGCCTTTCTGGGCCTCAGTTTCCCCCTCTGTAAATATTTTTTATTCCCTTTGCCTGCTTTACCTTTTAGTAGACACTACAATTTAACTTTTTTGATATCAGTAGCACCCAAATCCCTCACATACAAAAATTATATATAAAACTATGTGTTAAGCCGGGCGGTGGTGGCACACGCCTTTAATCCCAGCACTGGGGAGGCAAAGGCAGGCAGATCCGCCTGCCTCTGCAAGTTCGAGACCGAGCTGGTCTGACAGCCTCCAAAACAATACAGAGAAACCCTGTCTCGTAAAACCAAAAAAACAAAATAATGTGTTAGACAATTAATTAATGGGACAATAATTTCTTGATTCTTGTGAAGTTTTTTATTAGCTTTTAAAATTGGTTATATTCTATTTCATATTTATAGCTTTAAAAAAAACCACCCCAGTGTGAGCTTTTAAAACAAATAGTTGGCTTAGACATGACATATCTGGGGAATCAAAATGAAGGTGGTAAGCACTTTTGCTGCCTGGATTGACACTGGGAGGTTCTGTTCTGTTTGTCTTCCCTTGTGGGTAGATGGCGTCTGATCAGGTTACCCTCAAGTGTTTGAACACTGAACCCAACTTTAAAATACACTTTCTATCCTGGCTTCACTACCATGCCAAAGTACTACTGTGTCTTGGCTTTATCTATTGCGCTATGCAAATTATGCTGGGCTCTATGTGTCTTGAGGAATTTGGCAAAGGATGCTGAAACTCATGACTGCCATCATGTAAGTTCACACCCTGCCTGACCTCTGATCACCAGAGCTTGGTGACAACCGTCTTGTGGGGCCCTGGGAAGGTGTCTAGAGCAAGGCACTAACCTGTGCTCTGTGCCAGAGCTGGTGTTACCTACTGGAGTTGCCAAAGGACCAAGTCCACACTGCCCTTTCATGCAGCTGACAAGAGATCCCAGATGAATGTGTCAAGCGTGTTTCTGTGTGAGCCTGCATGTTGCTGTCAGCTGTCTTTTTCCGTATTGTCTTTGGTGTTAAGTTTTTAACATCAGTACAATGTGTTCATAAATAAAATCCTAAATTCTGCTTGGAAACAGCGAGCTGAAGGACAACTCTGTGGTTTCCAGGTCTCCTGTGACCTGCTTTTGTCAGTCAATGATTAACTGACTTTGGTTAGCAGAGATAATGCAAAGCTTTGGAAATTTACCCGGCTTTTGGCAGTAGGACTCCAGCCTTGTGCCTACATAAATAGATGGGGCTTCTGTATCCACAGCTGCATTAAGCCCTCTTGAGAGCCGTATGATATTGGAAACATTGTGGTTATTTAACATAGCAAAAGTCGGTTGCTCAGAGAGTACAAGTCCCTAGAGGTCAACCAGTCAAGTTTGGGTTTGATCTAACCCCAAGTTCATGGTCTTTTAACTGTATTAGACTGGCTCTCAAACAGCAATACATGAATTTCAACGAACCCTTTCTGCTGTCAGGAGATATTTGGTATTGTTTTTTTGTTGTTTTGTTTTGTTTTGTTTTGTTGTTTGTTTGTTTGTTTTTGGTTTCTCTGTGTAGCTTTGGAGGCTGTCCTGGTACTTGCTCTGGCCTCGAATTCACAGATGATCTGCCAGCCTCTGCCTCCCAAGTGCTGGGATTAAAAGCATGTGCCACCAATGCCCGGCTTAATATTTGTTTTAAAGATAGGGTCTTACTGTGCAGTTCAGGTTAAATTTGAATTTGTGTTCCTCCTGTTTCAGCCTCCTGAGTACTAGGGTTGTGGACTTGTGTCACCATGCCCACTGGGGGTGCTGGCTACTCCTGATGCTAGCAAAGAAACCCTGGAATACTTCAGAGCATGAGGTTGCCCTAGTTCTAGGCTGAGTGGCTCTTAGACCCAGGACCATCTGCTCAGTTTGTAGAGTCCTAAAGCATCCTAGGGACCAAGCTGTGAGTCACATCATGCCCCCAAGTTCCTTGGTGTCATCTATCATGGATTCTTTTGACGTGTACAGGAATCAACCATATTGCCTGGATGGGAAGGACAGAAACAAATGAGTCGTTTGTCATGCAGGTCTATACCTGGTAAGTAACCTGGTGTACAGTGTTGTATGGGGCCAGTGTTTATTCCTATATGTCATATCTGCTTTCTTTTTTTTTTTTTTCTTTTTTTGGTTTTACGAGACAGGGTTTCTCTGTATTATTTTGGAGGCTATCAGTCCAGCCTGGCCTCGAACTCACAGAGATCCGCCTGCCTCTGCCTCCCGAGTGCTGGGATTAAAGGCGTGTGCCACCACCGCCCGGCATCATATCCGCTTTCTGAGACTAAATTCTACTGTGAAGGTGACTAAGAAAGGTTAATGACAGAATGTTAAATACTTCACTATTAGGACCCAAGGGGCTGGAGAAATGGCCCAGGAGCTATCACTTATTGTTCTTGCAGAGCTGGATTCAGTTCCCAGCATCCACATGATGGCTCACAAGCATCTGTAGCTATGGTTTCAGGGGATCCAGTGGTTTCATGGACACACAGCCTGCACATGATACACATTCACACCTGCAAGCAAACCTCTCCCATACATAAATAAGAAGCCTTTAAAAAGCAATCAGTTCAAGAGAAGACCATGCATTTGAGCAGAATGATGAAAAAATACTGTTTGCAGATTTAAGTCAATACAAAAAAATAAGCATTGTAGAAGGCCGGGTCGGATGTTCTGAAGTGAGGGTTATAACAAATAATCAGAGAGACTTGTAAAAGCAAAAAGACCCGTGGCATGCACACTGGGAAAATGTCTTCTTTTACACATAACAATGGCACATAAAGCCCACATTACATATAACAACTCCCTGCCAGATGGACGTTTTCCCTTTATTATTTTTCTTTCCGACTGACAGGATGTAAGAGTGCCTTTGACCCTGTATGCTAAGAGAGAACTGCGCGAGCCTCCAAATAGCCATTTCTTTCCGTGGATGTATTAATATAAAATGGGTCAGAGAGAAAAATCCTCAGCTGTGGAGGGTTCTGGACATATTCAAGGGAATAATGATAATCAACGAAAACTAAGAGGGGCCCTGATGCCCTTGCAAACGCTTTCTAAGGGCAAGGAGTGTGCTGCACCTTGTCAGTGTGTAAGTCGTGAACCTAGACACAGCAGTCTCCAGATGGTTCTGTTTTTATCAACAGTACACATCAGCAGATCTTTCAAATGCTACCTGAAAAGGCCTCCCTTCTGGCTGGCTGCCACGCTTTTCTAAGGGGAGGCACACCACGCATGAGCAGAACTGTCTGTGGCTGACTACAGACAGGAACAAGTCTGTCGGACCACCCATCGCTAAACACATGGAACATCGTTCCTGACATAACCAGAGTTGCCCTGGTGAACTTGCCACAGAGAAGCAAGAAAAGAAAAGGGTACGAGGATGCTTTGGGAATGGAGAGCTGGGGCTGAGGTAAAGCGCCAGAGGGAAGAAGGGGGGCTACAGCTAAAAATGTTTACTGTGGTGTCTCCAACAGATTGGGAGAAATCCAGCTAATGGCGGTCAAGCAGCTGTCGGAGAATCACATCCGAAGGACGGTCTGTGGCCCCTGCGCCCTGAGCTGGAACAGTGACGTTATCTTCGAAACGAGCACACTGTGGTCGGTTACTGATGTCTGCCAACTGCTTAGGAAAGGGTGTATGCGGCCTGTGTGTCAGTCCTGCTCTTGTTGGCACGAGACAGTGTTTTAGACCATGGTGTTTACTGATCTTTCCTTTTAAAAAGACAACCAGCCTTTGCCTTCTTCTTCAGGAGCCCATGCAGGTATCCGCCTGCTGCCCAGGCAAGAGACTTATCATAGTTTAAGCAGAGTCTTTCCAAGGTCTCTGATCTAATGAGCAGTAAATTCCACTTAACATGTGTCTCCAAACTCTATAAATGGAAATCCCTACAGATTGGCCTTCTCTTTTCCTTTGCAACAGATGTTCAACACAGCAGGCTTTCCCATGCCTTAGCACCAACTGCCACTCTCAGATCTCCCAGAGCTGACCATGGCCAGGGAAGCATCCATGACATCTGCCGCTTGACCTCTCACAGAAGGCTCAGTAGGTGGATATGAATTATGGCATGGCAGCCACCACTTTTTGTCACAACCGACTCTCTAGAAGCACTTGTACCCTAATGGCATTGCCAGCTACGCCTTACTGGGTGGAGCACAGTACAGACATGCCACTCACCCTCTTCCTTTATTGTTCCACTGCCTGGATCTTTGTCAATTTTATAAAATTAACATTTTCCTTAAAAATTGAAAAGTCTTGTGTTCAGAGACCTTCCTTCATAGTGTGCTTCGGCTGCTCTGACGCGGTGCCCTAGACAGAGTGACTCCAACAACAGGTATTTTCTTCTCACAGTTCTGGAAGCCAAGGCAAGCCCAAGGTACCTGCTGGCATATTCTGTCAGGGGCTGGCTTTCTGGTCTGAAGACTGTCACGGTGCTGTGTCCTCACGGTGGAGGAGATACTATTCTTTCCTCACCTTAGGAAAGACACTAGTCCCACCAAGAACCCTGCCCTGTGTCCTCATCTAAACTGACCTGCTACCAAGAGACCCACCCTCAAATAACCTCACATTGGGGGTTATAGCATCAGTATACACATTCCATAGAATGCCCATATCTGTAAGGGGTACTTTTGAGACACAGTATTGCCACACACCTCAAGCAGCCTTAAACTCAAGAACCTCCCATCTCAGCCACCCAGATCTGGGATTTTAGGTCTGAGGCTTTGTTTGCAAACAAACTTTCTAACACTAAAGAGTTTTGATGTGCCTTTTGATCTGAGTTTGTGCTTGAAGAAGGCTACTGGTGATACAGGGAGAACAGAACTTTAAGAACCTTGAGATTTAAAAAGGACGCGACACACACACCAGTAGTCTCAGCAGTTAGGAGGTAGAGGGAGGAGGACCTTAATTTGAGGCCAGTCTGTGCTACATAAAGAGAGCATCTCAAAAAAATTTAAGATTTAGAAAGACAATGCTCCCTTTTTTCAGGTTTGAAGAGAGCAGTGGGTGACTGAGTTACTATTACTAATAGCAGAAAAATGCCCCAGTGAACTGTGTGGGTGAACATAGGATCCAGTAGTGAGGTGGGGGTTGGGCTATTTAGGCTGTTTCCTGAGAAGTGAATTGACAATTCCGCTTGTTGAGTTGTTGATGCTGTGCTGAAGCAGGAGTGCCATGATTTTGAGCTAGTTATTCAGTCTCTCTAAGCCTCAGTGGTGTCACTTCTAAAGAATGATTAATAATCATTTGCCACGGAATAGAATATTTGTTTAATTATGTAAAGATATGTTACATTTGTTTATGTTGCAGAATAATTGTTTAGCTATGTAAAGATGAGTTGCTGTTTCATCTTGCTTGCCTTCCTGGTAGGTCTAACAAAGAGCTGGATGGTCAATAGCTAGGCAGGGGAGGAATAGGCAGGGTGGTGGGTAGAGAGAAAAGGGGCCAGCCAGCCAAGGGCCAGACAGACAGGCAGACATGGAGGCACCAGGAAAGCAGGATTGACAGTATGTAGATGAGTTAACGAGCCCCAGGGCAGTACATAGATGAATAGAAATGGATTAATTTAAGTTTTCAAAAAAAATTATCTAGAAACAAGCCAGCTATGACCCAGCATTCATAATTAGTAAGTCTCTGTGTCATGATTTGGGGGGCTAGTGGTCCAAGAGAAAGCCTGCTACAATCATTCCTTCTTTATGATACTCACTGAGCAAGGCATCCCATGAGAATGATGCAGAGTACTTAAGGAATCTGTCAAGATCCTGCTAAGTGCTCATGGCTTATTGATAGCATGTGACAGGGCTATAGTCCTAAGAAATGGAGTCCTTCCCTCTTTGCTGAAGTCAGTTAACAATTACAGAAATCAACGCTTTACCGTACCAGGCCCTTGATGTGAATTAATCTGCATCCCCCTGTGGGGTAGCACCATGGACAGCAGCAGGTGCATCAACCCTAAGTTATAACTGAGGAAACAGAGTCACACAAAGATGAGGTAACTTGTCCAGAATCACAAAGCAAATGGCCAATAGGACCAGGAGTTGGACATCTGCAGTGTGGTGCATATCTGCAGAGCCAATGTGCTGAAGTTATCATGATGTTGGGCTCTGTGGTTAAGACCTTGGGTGGAAGCAATGGGTGGTCCCAATAATTGGCTAGGGTCCCCCATGTCTGAGCTCCTTTGATTGCCCTTGATTTGAAGTCTATAGTTGTGTTGCATATTAAAAACACAGTACTGCAGGACACATGGGCGAATTCAGGGACCAGAACTCAGTGGATACACACTTGGGGGCAAACCTGGGCTACACAGAGAGACTGCCCCCCCAAAAATCCCCAAAACCTACAGTTACTTTCATACATTTACTCAATGCTCAAATGGTACAAAAATCAAAAATAAAAGGTAACATTATCTCAAGTCTCTTCTTGCTCCATCATTCAACCATCTAGTTCCTTCCAAGCTCTGTACATGCAGACACTGAAGGCTGAGGTAGAATTGTCAACTGCATGGCCTAGTGTTACAAATGGCCTCTATGTGAAGACTGAGGACACTGGTTCCCGGTATATTTAGTAGACACATGGCTTCTAGGCTAACTAAGCAGAGACTCCAGTGACCAAACAAGAATACATGCTTTAGAGAATATTTTTTATAGGGCTGAAAATTAGGAAGCAACAAATAGCAAAAATAACAAATCTGGAGACAGGTGATCACTTAATTTCCATAGCTACCACTTTATAGTCAGCTTGCTGCATCCATGGATTGGCATACACGGGTCAACCAAGTGTAGATAAAAATATTTTTATTAAGTGGAGGGAGGGTTAGAGAGCATGTGCATGCAACAGTAAACTAGTGGGGGTCAGAGGTCAATCTGCAGGAGCTGGTTCTCCCCTTTCACCATGTAGGTCCCAGGAATCAAACTCAAGCCTTTATCCTTAGTGATGAGCTCCTTTTACCCACTAAGCTATCTGGCCAGTTCCCAGACATGTTTTTGTTTGTTTGCTTTGCTTTAAAAAATGTATCCTTGTTGATGTACACAAATTTTTTTCTTGTCAGTGTTCCCTAGACAATACAGTTTAACAATGGTTTACACAGCATTGTATTGTATTAGGAATCATTAATCATCTAGACATGGTTTAAAGCATCAGAGGAGATTAGAGTTGTAGCTCAGGGGTGGAGTGCCTTCTCTGCATATGTGACATCTTGTGTTCAATGTCTAGCAGTACAAAGAATACACACATAAAATCAAAATAAATATGAACAATCAGAGTTGGCTCTATCCAAAGGCTGGGCAATTTGTTACTGTAGTTAAATGCCTTTAAAGTAACCAAAAATTAGAGAGAAGTGCATTGTTTGAAGGAATCAAGTTTGAGTCAAAGGTGGCCCTGAAGAATAAAGATGGGCTACTTGGGGGGGGTGGTTCATGGCACACAAAGACTTCATAGGAGAAGAATGAGATTGATTGAAAAGCTTAGGGATGGGCAGGCCCTCATCATGGGGAGTGTTTCTTTTCCTCTTCAGCGGCTACGTCACTGAAATGGACGTTGACCTCCTGCAACTGGTTAACTAAAACCTGATGGAGGGCTTCTCCACACCAGATGGGTGAGGGGTGACTGGTGGCAAGGGGTGGAGGAAACAAAGGACAGTTCAGAAGTCCCCAATGATAATCTTATACAAGGCAACTGCATATGGACTTTGGAACCTGAAGGCAATCCCAGAACCAACTCCCCAAGGGACAACGTGACATAATTTAGAAGCCCATGTTTCAGCCAAAAATCATAGGGCATTAAAAGAAAAAAAGATAGAGTTGGGAAAATGGCTTAGTCCATAAAGAGCTTGCCATACAAGCAAAAGGACCTTTGTTTGAAACCCCAGGACCACAAAAAATAAGCAAAAAGCACCAAAATTGAGTGTAACAGTAATCACAGAGCCGGGAAGGTAGAGAACATTTACCTGAGACAGTCTAGCGCCAGTCCACAAGCTGCTGGTTCAGTGAGAGACTCTGAATCAAAACACAAGGTGGAGAGCAATTGAGGACAATACCTGGTATAGACTTCTAGCCTCCAAAAATCCATACATGGAGAGAGAGGAGGGGGATGCCATGGCGAACAGAGGAGATGACAATCAGCGAAAAAGAATTGTGAAGAAGTCAAGAATTTAGGATGATCTTCATATACACCAATAATATGTGACTAAACAGACGACCATCCTACGCTCAGTCATACTGATACACACCTTAAGAAATATTCACTGGGTCTGGCAGTGCAGGAGAATCACAAGATCAAGACTGGCCTGGGCTGCAGAGAAAGTTCAAGAAAAGCCTTGGTAACTTAAGTGAGACTCTCTCAAAAGAGGGCTGGTTCTGGGGTCTAGTAGTAGAGAACTTGCCTAGCCAGATTTGCACAGAGCTTCAGGGCCAGGTGACACCTCAAAGGGGCCTCAGGTCTGGGCTTATGCACCGTCTGCACAAAGGTGGTTTTCTAGTTTCCCAGGAATAAAGAGCAGCTGTGTGTAAAGTACCTTTAAAGATCTCCTTCTGTAGCTCTTCTCTAAGTGTTTGGTCAGCTTCTCGTTTCATGACTTCTGCATCCCATTTCAAGATACCCTTTTAAATTCAACATTGCTTTCAAATATTTCCAACAAATCCCCCCAGAGAAAAGGAGTTTTTACTGGATGATTTCAAAATCAAGTGAAATAAAGACTGTGTTTCCATTGGATTGTTGGAAGAGCTACCAGACAAGCCCTTATGGTTGACCAGGAATGAGACTTTGGTCTATGGCTACCCAAGATCTGGGAGAGTTGGGTAATTGTCCTGAGGCAGATAAGTTCACTGCTCTTTGTAGTGAGAGAGCTATGCCATCAGTGTAGACACACTGACACATTCATGCCTTTCCATAGTGTCAGGGTTCATTGGATGTCACTAGACTTACACGCTACATGAGTAATACCAGCTTTACTTTACAAACTACTTCTGACTTCACACGCAGTCATAACTTTGGGGATTCCAAGTCACACACACACCATCACGAAATTATATACAGGTTAGAGAAAGGTTGAAAGAATGAGAATACTGACTGGAAAGAGACAGGGCAGAACCAATGCAAAGAGGCACTATAGAGATTCAATGCAACTTCAAGAGGAAAGTCTATTTGGCTTAGAGTTTGCAATCTGTCATTGAGGGACACCAAGACAGGAACTCAGTGCAGGAGTAGAGATCATGGAAGAAATGAGAAACGCTGCTTACTGGCTTGCTTCTCAGCATTTGTTACCTTTCATGTTCAGGTAACTACTGCACTGCCCACAGTAGACTAGGTCCTCCTAGAAAAGTTGGCCTCACAGACATGGCCACAAGTCAGTCTCATCTGAGCAGTTACCGGCTTCCCAGATGTGTCAAGTTGGCAACCAAAATCATCCATCACACCCAGAATTTCACATGGGTTTAGAAGATGTAATTCAGACCCCCACAAGGCAAATGGTTTACTAAGTGATCCTGCTCCTCAGCATTTGTTTTGTTTTTGAGACATGCTTTAGTTTGGCATGAGGTCTGTGTTAGTGCAGGCCATGTACCACAAGGACCATGATGGTGGGTCTTTACACGGTCATCCCGGAAAGCCTGGAGAACGGAGGCGCATCAGCCCACTTTGTGTTCTCAAGACCAAATAACTGAGAGGCTGAGCACGCAGATTCATCTTGCTTGGGATCCTGGTGTCTGGAGGCTGTGAGCAGTGTGCTGCTGGCATCCTGGCAAGGTCATCCGGCTGTATCACAGTGTGGCGGGGAAGCAGAAGGAGAGCAGCGGTCTGCAGAAGGGCACGCGCTGCCTGGGGAAGGGCAGGCTTGCCCTTTTCCCAGCAACTTGCTTCTGAGAGAGCTGACCCACTCCTACCTATCCTCATAATTTAATCCACTCATAATGGAGCCCCTGTGACCCAGTCACCTCCCACTTAGCTGAACTCTGCTGCTCTTTTATTTATTCTTCACTCTTTGGGGGCTCTTTCTCTTTTGGGGGCCCGCTACCCAGCTCCCAAATAAATCATACATGGAGGATTATTAATACTTATAAATGCCTGGCCTTAGCTTGGCTTGTTTCTTGCCAGCTTTTCTTAAATTTTCCCAACTGCCTTTTGCCTCTGGGCCTTTTCCTTTCCTTACTTCTGTATATCTTATTTTCAGTCTTGCTCTGTGGCTGGCTGGGTGGCTGGGTGGCTGGGTGGCTGGGTGGCTGGGTGGCTGGCCCCTGACGGCCTCCTCTTCTTGT